AACCGCTGGGTTAATATTTGGCAATGTGGCTGGGCAGAGGTGGTTGGGCTTTGCTGCTCTGCTTGACAAGCCCTCTCCTTGCTACACTGCTGCCAGTGTAACTGTGATGGTAAGTCAGGATTTAAGCTTAAGGTTGGTTAAATGCTTCATTGGGATGGAACAGCTATGGGCTTGGCTGTGCAAGGAGATGAAAGGCATTCTTTAGCTGCGTAAGGAGATGAAAGGCATTCTCTCTATCTACTTTCCATGTTTACTGCCAATGTTTTTTGTCTGTGTTTGTTTTGTTAAAAGTTTCTGATGACTGCCAGCTCCTAAGCAGTGAAGACTTGTAAGATGCAAACCAATTCAAATCAGTACAGTCTATTGGGAAATGTTTTTTTAAAAAAAGATAGGTTACCATGAATAATGTCTTTCACTGTGGTAACAGCCCAGGGGGTTATTCCATGCCCTGATGTGACCATTCTCATTCCAGCTTGTGGCTGAAAGCTTGGAAATACAGATATCCAGGATGGTAGTGCTCTTCCTTGGTCATTTGCACCATGTTCTTGTGCTTCAGGTCTCTGCCTTGGCCTGGTGCTTGATTTACTGCAGTGTCACAAAAATGTGACATTCTTACAAATCACTAATTTTATTTATCTAAGCCAAGCTGTGCTAGACACTATACAATTATGCTAAATCTGGGACCTGAGTTGTTGAAAACCTCCTACACAGCAGCAAAGGGGCAAATGCTGGTGTTTTCCTCTTGAACATGGCACCACCACCTCTAAAAGCTCTTCCTGACAATCATCCATGCAGAAGAAGATCCATGTCAATGCAATCCTCTCTTTAAGCCAGCATAAGACCGCCAAGGTGATATTCTTGCCCTGCTGAGGTTGCCAGTGGTGTTGACGCCAATGGCAAATTGAAGCAGGATTCTTTCCCCTTCCTTTCCCCTTTCCTCGTCCCCCAACCATGGGCCTCAAGAGATGTTCAGCCAGGTAATAATTGCCTTTTTTCATTTGGCTGTGACTTATCTACCTGTAGAGGGTTCCTTGCTGAAAATGTATTTAATTATTCATAGCTAATAGACCTGGTTATCAGCAGGTCGATTTTAAATCCCTCTCTCCCTCTCTTCTGCATTGCTCGAGAGGAACTGAGGCTTTAAGCTTCATAAAATGACATGAAATTATGTAGCTTGTTATGGCAGCACACAGATGCTATTTGCAATATTTGCAGTCATTTCTAGTTATAACATCTGCTTGTGACCAAATCTGTATGATAATTCTATTGCATGCTCTCCATGCTAACTCTTTTGGTGGCATAATCACCTCCCAAAGACAACCAGTGATTATTTCACTGCTTGATATGTTCAGCCATTTAAGGTGTCTCATGGGTGAATAGGGACCAGATTAGAATAGGGATCAGAAGAGACTGATAGATTTTTTTTTTTTTTCAGAATTTATTATTTAGTCTAAATTTTCTAAATAATAGAAGGCCTAGCATTTAATTCAAGTCCTCGTAAAAATTCAATGCTTGTTACTAATTAACATGAATGGTTTTGTTTCCATGTACTGTAGCAAGTATTTGTCATTTATGTAAGCATTCTAAAATTCAGGTGCAGCTCCATGGACTTTCACTTTTTAACTAGCAATGCGTTACTAGTATGTCAGATTCATGAAGAGTACCCATAATGTGGCCAGGGCAGTGTGGGTTTGCATCTGCTGGAGCTTCACTCATCACTTTTGCTGCAGCAGAGCATGGCCTTAGGGTAGCGGTGACTCTCTCTGTTGTCATTGTGGAAATAATTGTAGTTGTTTTGGAGTTGTAGCACCATTTCCAGTTGTACCTAATTTGTATCGGGGAGGTTGTGTTTTACAAGGAGCACTGGAGGAGCTGTATTTTCAGGCTTAGAGCATGAGGCTGGGAGGGGTCCATTCAGATGCCCATGCTCCTGTTCCTGCAGGAGGCTGCTGCCTCAGAGCAGGGCTTCAGGTCTAGCTTTCAGCAGGTTCACCAATGGGATCTGCATGTTTGGTCTCCTGCCAGCAGGAAGCCAGAGTTTCTGGCGTTGGGAATATCCATGAGGAAAAGAAGTGTTGGGCTTGGCCTTATTCTGGTGTGCAGTGCACAGGGGGAGCACCCACAAGTGTACCTGTGTGTGCTGGTACGAGAGGATGTGGCAGGAGAGCGGAGAAACAGCATGGTATTACCTGCTAGTTGACACAGGTGCAAGGCATTTCAAAATTGTAGGAAGGAACAAATTTCATAAGACAATTCTATTTTTGTCATGCTTTATTGATTTCTAATTCATTTTATGGCTATAAAATAAAAAGCCCCAAACCTGCAAATCCCCAAGGCTGCATATTGCCATTCTTGCAAGCAGCCCTATTGACTTTGGGTGGGTTCCCTTCATAAGCAAGGGATAGAGAGATCAGCTGAACTCTCTCCCTCTGACTCTGCAAAATGAAGCTACCAGTAGATCAAACACCAGCTTGTGGCCACCTCACTTCATCAGGAAGACGGCTAAGAGCTACCTGTCGGGAGTCACTTGCAGTGCCCAAAAATTCCCCACCTCAGCCTCATGGTGATCTTTTGTTTCATTTTGCTGTGTGTCACCTTAGCAGAAGCAAATAATACTGGGTTCAGTTCCTATATTAAGATAACAGGTAGAGCTGTTTTCTGCACTACGGAAACATGTTCGTCTCCTCACAAAGAGCTGATCATAAAGCTCCAGTGAACATTTTTGCAAAAAGAAACGTTGCCACAGTACAGAGTATTTTCAGTATTTGCAAGAATTCTAACAAACAGTGGGTTAAGTTCAAATGAAGCTACTGCAAATCAGGAGACAGCTTACTCAGAACTTTGTCTTGCAAGAAAAAAAATTATTATACTGCCACTTAGCATAATTGCTACATAAGAATAGGATCTAGCAAAGCATTAAAGTGAAAGTCTGACATTTAAACATCTGGTTAGAGTTAGTGGGGCTATCATTTTACTTTTGTGTCAGAAAAACCCTACTGTGTTAAAGTTTAATTTCTCAGGTTTAGAGCCCATGAGCTTTGCATAAAAATAAGGTTCTATTTTATATGAAAATGCGCTCTGTCATAGTCAGTTTTTTTGTTGTTTTTTTTTTTTTCTTTCCCTCATTTACCCTCAAACGTGGGTGTCTGAGGCTGACACATTGTCTCAGCAAATTAAGTCAAGCTGGAAGCAAGGGTACAGTGTTATGGCAGAGTAGCAAATAAGATTTACATTTTCAAGCAAGAGCAGTAATTAGGCCATTGCATATTTTATATCTTCATGTTTATTTTCAAAGTGGTCTATCAAAATAAGCATAGATGTAATGAGACATAAGTGCTCTGAAGTGCAGTCAGGGTTCATAAAGTAAAAACTACAAATTACTTTTCAGTTTTGCTGCCACCTACAGAGTTTACATCTTTAAAATACCAGCAGGCAGGTGCTCTGGCCACAGCTAATTGGGTCTGTAGTTAGAGACATACTGGTTTTCTATAACACAAATTTTGAAGGGAATTGGCCTAATTTTGAGTGAACAGTATGTGGCTTTGTGTTGTACACTTTGGCTCAGCACATGATATATTTGGTGCTTTGGGAAGTAAAATGAAGTTTTGAACCGGTTATGCTGGTGCAGATGGTCACTACTGCTTGACTTGAGGCATCAAGAGCAGTGCCATGGAGGGGGGTCAAGCAAATGAGCTTTGAATGCAGGGTGCCAGGTCCATTGCTACTGTGGGACGAGGGTGGTCTAGAGGAGTCACAAGCTCTAAATTCTCATGACACAACTTGTCCTCCCTCTAGCTGTGTGTACTAGTCTCTGTATGCTCATGTGTGTTAGCTGAAGTTGCTCTTCTCTCCTGCTGTGCTGAGCAGGTGGCTTGGGCAGTAACCATTATTCTTACCTATATTTCTACAAATGGTCTTCCAAATTTTGCCTGTACATGATGCTGCTTTT